ATGTTATAATATGAAATCTTGAGGAAAGGCGATTTGCCAACGAAATTCATTAATCAACGTGGAAACTAGTCCAACCTCATGAAAAATTCATAAAGGGTTATTCAAAAATGGTAATTACTTGTTCTTTTATGTTACAAGGTACGACGCTATCTACTTGCTGACGCGATAAAATTATTATAAACGTTTTAGTGTATTTAATTACATGATAAAATGTTGGTCCTCTAAAACTTTATCTAGAAAGTTGAATGTTTGCGTTACGCACGTCATTTTGAATGTTCATTTTACGTATACAACGTTTATTAATGTAAAATATTTATGTTCTTTCCCACGCTTTACCTATTTTACGGTTACATTGCCAGGGAAATTGTAAAATCTAGCGTTTATTAATCTTTTATATTATTACTCTTTATATCCATTCATTTTTCATTTTTTCTGCATGATGTTATACATAAATTTATTTGTAAACTTCGTAAACTTTTTGCCTGAATTCCTATACATTTTTGCTTTTGTTATTTTCACATGCCATAATTATAGAAATGTAGAGTTTATTTAATTTGTTTTACATTGACTTTTTGCGGCTGCATTTTTTGTTTGAAAGTAGTTTTTGAATTTATTATATATACGTACATAAAATGTACATAAATGAATACATTTTTGTAGAATCTAGCGTTTATTAATCTTTGTGTATTTATCCATTTTTAATCTTTGCTGTATAATGTTATAGTTAAATAATTTATAAACTCCGTAAATTTCTTTTCATGGCATTCTATACATTTTTGCTTTTATTAATTTCACATATTACGATTATACAAAATGTAGAGTTTATATAGGGTGACGCATAAAACCGGACCCAAACGCAAAATACAGTTATAAACAACTGTTTGGGACCGGTTCGTGCCACTCCGTATATTTTTATATATAGATACCTATATTTTGTTATCACCAATTTCAATTATCAATATCTAACAGATAAATAAGTATATATATGCACGAAAATCTATTGCACAAACATAGTGTTCAGCATGAATTACTTACGTCTTTGCAACATAACAATCCACCGAATAAATCATTTCATTCAAATCATTGTCATTATTATATCATTATTTAGGGTCCTTGTACCAAATATCTTTTTATAAAAAATAAATCTTATGATAAATATAAGAACAAAATTCTTCAATAGTTACAAAAAACAATTTATGAGATGATTACATAGAGATAATTATTGCAACGGGGGATTAATGTAAATCATACAATTGCACGTTTAAGGGCTTTAAACCGAATAAGTTGTTCTATCTTTATATCGCTATTATTTTTTAAATGTAAACGCATATATATTATGGAAAAGAGCCTATTACGAGCGGCAAATTCGCCGGACTTTCGCAGATCCGGCACAAATCAGCGAGCTTCTCTCGAAAACGATAGCGGACGCGCACGCGAGGACATGCCTGGTGTCGACGGAACAGATCCAGGAGTCCTTCCGGAAGCCCACCGACATCTCCAGAATGATCTACTACAAGAACATGGCGCACGAGCAGCTCTGGCTGGAGTGCGCCCAAAAGCTGACCACCGTCATCCAGCAGATCATCGAATTCGCCAAAATGGTCCCTGGATTCATGAAGCTCTCGCAGGACGACCAGATTGTTTTATTAAAGGCCGGTATGTAACTGCATCGGCATAAGCACGGTTTCCCTCTTACCAGCGATAAAATTTTATTGCTCTTACGCGTGCTCTTGCGCGCGATTTGACTGCAAATTTTTAAGAATTTAATCTGAAGATTAATTATTCTACTTTTAATTCTTAAGTGGAACAGGTAAGTAACTGCATAATACTTACTTAACGCAGTTGCTATTGATCTTGTTCTTTTTTCAAATAATATTAATATTGACAATAAATAAATGAGATACGACCATACGATATACAATCAAGTTAAGAAAAATGCCGTTAAACGGTCAAAGAGACTGTATCTTAGTTGCCTAATAATATTATTCGCGTGAATTTTGGTAACGTGCAATTCTTCACCTTAGTCATTATTAATATTTTATTATCAAAAAAATTATAATAAAATTTTTTGAACATTTGTCAGTTTTGTTTTAGTGTTAATAAATTAATAAATACTAGTTACCGCTTGGATATGTAATCGTTTCTTGTTGCATTAGAACAGTGAAGATAATCTCCGTCAGTTTCTTAAAAAATCTAAATAAGTTGAAAGTGAGAAAGTGTAACATCTATGCTAATATCCTGCTAAAATGTAATAGGTTCCTTCGAGTTGGCTGTGCTACGAATGAGCAGGTACCTCGATCTCCAGCAAAACTGCGTCCTATACGGCGACACCTTGCTACCACAGGAGGCGTTTTATACGACGGATACGGCGGAAATGAAGCTTGTTTCCTGCGTGTTCGAGCTGGCCAGAAGCATCGCCGAGCTGAAGCTCACCGAAACTGAGTTGGCGCTCTATAGCGCGGCTGTTCTACTTAGCCCTGGTGAGTGGCACGAACGCACAAAAGTGTTTTTCACAAGTTTGTTACATAAATTTTTTTAAAATTATGAAAAATATCTGTTATATATCTATGTATATATCATTAACTTTAAAATTTTAATACTCACGCTTAAATTCATCTTAATAAGTGTATCAATACTGTGTATCAAGTATATATTTTGTTACACATATATCATCCATTTCATACACAAATACATATTTCATTGCTTTATTTTATCAGCATTATTTGTTATATCAAGGATGAAAAAAACGCGTTTCTTTTTTTTTTAATAATGTATGAAAACATCTGACTTCTGGCAACAATATTTCCGATGGAAGGTCTGTAAAGTTAATCGAGTTGAATTATAAGAAATTAACAGAATAAAAGAAATCTCGTATTTTTTTGCCTTTGCTGTATAAGCAATGCCGTAGTTGACTGACTTACGGTATCTTGCGCAGATCGACCGGGACTGAAGTGCCTGGGAGACATCAATAGGCTGTCGCAGGCGGTGATCAGGGCGTTGAGATCGGAACTGGATCGGAATCACGTTACGCCGATCAAGGGCGATGTGACCGTGTGCGACGCGATTCTCGCCAAGATATCGCAGCTACGGGAGATCTCGCTGCTACACATGGACGCGCTGGCGAAGTTCAAACGGTCGCAGCCGCACCTCGAGTTCCCGGCCCTCCACAAGGAACTCTTCAGTGTCGATAGCTGAACGAACGACGCGGCGCGGAACGTCGTCCCGGCGCTGCCGAGCGGACAGGAGCGCGAGTAGCGTCCCCGGACCTTGCTCGGTCAAGGTGAGTCCGACCGTCCCGGAAGAGAGAGATACCCGACGAGATCTCGTGGAACCGGGGGACCGGAAGTGGCGACGCTTCCTAGGAAGAATCCGCGAGCCGGCTCGGATGAGATCGAAAAACGATCTCGATGACGAGAGACGAGGTAACACGAGTGTCGTCAATCACAGATCCGATCGATCGTGTCGACGAAATCCGTCTCGTCGCGAAACGAGTGAAAAGAGGTTGTTGCCTGTGTGTCGGGAACAACGGGACAGAGGCAACGCGAAATCATGGCAGTCGTTTACATTATGTTAGCTTCATGAGTCTTCGGATCGGAGATTCGTGCTTTTAAGACGACTACTTTTAAGACGATTCATTAAGAACAGGTACTCGGAAAAGCGAAGAACGATGTCAGAATGTTTATCTGGATTCTGCGATTTAGGATGCAGTCGTAGTCACACGGTACATTTAGCGCTAAATGTGGCTCTACAGTTTTCAGCTCATTATTACGATTCTTACATTAGATGATATTAGGTAAATAAATCACGTTTAAATGTCAAATATATGAAGTAAATGAAAACTATACTCTCTAGAATGGTTAAATAGAAAGCTGTTTAAAATAATTTAGAATTGTTTGACGTTGTTTTACTTGAAAAAATGCACAAAAGTGATAAATTTAGTGCACAAAATAAAAATTTTAATAATTTTAAAGTTAATGATTAGAAATGTAAAATTAATGTTGATATTTATAAATCAGTATAATAAAGGATTTATAAATATAACGATTTATAAAGCGACGTGTTCTAAAATTTAAATAAAGATTAAAATATATATCTTTTTATAAATTTATATTTTAAATATTTGGTTATTTTTTAATGACCAGTGATATCACATGATTTTGTTACTTCTAAACAAATAACTTTATAGTCTTCGTGATACCGAAAAAAAATATGTATACGTCTTTTATCAGACTTTTATTTTATTTAAAATTAAGTTTGAATAAAATCGTATTAACGATTAAAATACAAGCGGGCTTGTATTTGAGAAATTCTTAATAATATAATCACTGATACGAATAAGAAGCAAATAAGAGCCATCCATGCATGTAACGAGAAGAACGTTACGTATAATTCCAACACGAAAAAATGCGCGACGATGGGACATTTTTTGTATTTATTTTATATTTTATTTATTTAATTATTATATAATATATACTTGTTGCAGGATTTTTTAGTCTTAATAGGGGGATGTAAAATAAATAAAAATATATCATTTTATATGACAATATGTTTAAATCGGCATTATTTTGTTAAAAGTCAATATTACATACGAGACGTATAAGAAAGGTATGAAAGTATCTAGATGCTTTTTAAATAAAAATTAGCATTTTTAATTTTTACTAAATTAATAGGCAATACATAAAATATTTATTTTTATAATGCATTGTCATATGCACGCAAACAAAAGGGTAAAATTTTGAGCTATCAGTATACTTTTCATTGCAAACATAAATAGTTGCCTGACATCGCTTTTTACAAAATCGCTTGTCCGGGTACCAGTATATTAAATCGGGAGTCTTACATCGCGCTATATTGTATATAATATCTTTCTTATTGTTCAAATTGCAAAGAAGAGAAAAAGAATGAATCTTTAAGAAAATAACAAAGGTGAACGAACACCAGATTGTCTGCGCGTACGAATTTTTTTACAATATTTTAACTCGTGGGATGCATATGACATAATAAACAATACGTAATATGCAAGTTTTAACCCTTTAATCGGTAAATTATATCTATTTTATATTTTATTATATTTGAAAGGAATCATTAAAGATCCTTTGTTAAATCTACCGTTACTTGTATTTTATGAAGAAAATGTAAAACTTGATCACAAAATTCATAAACATTATTTTATACAATACAAGTGATTATCACTTATTATCTATTAATTTAACGATAATTCGAATAATTTGATTACTGCTTATAGCATACTAAGTTGAAAACCGTAAACGAGATAAACTCAATACTGCCGTTAAAAGGGTTCAAACTGATGAATTAGAAAATAATTTGTAAATATGCTTATACGGTTACCAACAATCTGATACGAAATCAGATCGACCCTGTTTCTCCTTCTGAAACGTCCTCGACTCTTCGATCCTTCAAAAAGTGATAAAAATATGACTTATTAGCTAGTTGACTCTTTTGCAATTAATAGTGTTTATAATATATAGTACAGCAATTTTCTTTAAATCAAATCTCTTCTACAAATGTTAGATCCTAAACAATATTGCCTGGACGTCCTGAACGAGAAATCAAAGTATATTAACGACGGATGAATATGATTGAAACTGAATCAGAATTTAAAGATTGTTTGTAAAAACCTTAATTTTACTAAGTCTGTATCAATCTTCTCCATCTCTTCTGAACGCTAAGGAAATGTTATTATACTTTCACGGAAATACAAACTTTTAATCTGAAAAAATCTGATTCATTCTCCACAATCCCTTTCATCCGCGGTTACTTCAAACCAGGTGGCTTGAATTCCAACCGATCAGCCTACCGGATAGCGTTTTATTGACCGTAATACATACTAACTTATTTGTTAAACGTTAGACTTTGCCTCAATTTTAATTACGCTATGTTAAACTTTGTATGCGTTTATATATATTTTAAGATATTTCTCGTTTGTAATTACAAAGTATTACAATTAACACGGTTGAATCGGAAAATCGTAGTAGATAATTCGATGAGGGTGCGTAACTATAAGAGGTACGCAAGATAAGTTTGTTTTTTAATGTCAACGAGAGTGGATATTTTGTTACCAATGATTGGATTTCAAGCTGCAGGATGTTCCAAAGAGGTATATATCGATATGACAAGATTCTTTGATCTTTTTATTTAAGTTTCCTGCGATTTATTTGCGAAACTTAATTACGGTAGTTAATTTATAATTAGTATCAAATTTATTTCTTTCTTTTTATTAAAATTAACTTTTATGAACTTATGAGATGGATAAAAATAGCTTATTTTGTATTTAATTTACAGTACATACTTTATCATGAAGGAAATTTAATTAAAGACAACATTAAATTTAATTAAAAAAAACATTTGTATTTATGATTTTTCCAATAAACCTTGCGATTGTGATATCTTTTTGGGACGTTTTGTATTTTTTGCTTGTATAATAAAATTGTGTTAAATTACATTATTCGCTATGTCATATAGTAGAAAATGATATTATCATGCAAATAAGCGTTGAAATCAAATTAAAATGTCCGGTAGGCTTTCAAATGTATGTCACGATGGACTGTCTTATTGTTAGATAAAAGTATATCGAATGATGCCTCTCTTGAAAGGCAACCATAATTGGTTGCCTATCCTCAGTCGGATGATTCTTCCTAGGAAACGTCAAGCTAAGCGCACTTAAGGTAAATCTGGGAAAGTAGGAAAAGTTATACGATAGAATCACGCGAAGAAGAAAAAACACATCGAGACTGGAACGCTGGTACATGGCCTCGCTAATCGTTGACAGATATTTTGAGGATTTATTACGAACGGAAGAACTTTGTAATCTAATTTTCAAGCTGGAGAGTTTTTCGTTTTAAATAGAATGAGGTAAACTAGAAAATATATTTTACGAGAGATTGTCTTTTCGAGATATGACGTAACAAATTTAAGGGGATCCTATAGTGGCGGTAGTTACCGACATTTTTTCATTTTAAGGAATCTTTGAATTGGCTTTACAGAATTGCAAGTTTTTGGTCTAGAATTAAAGTACGCACAAAAATCTACATCGCGTTATACGATTTCATATCGGGAACGAAAAAAAATTAAAAATTTTACTAATTTGGGCACATACAACTGTCATCTGACGACAATAACAAAATTACTACAGTTTATATATATATATAATGACACCAAGGCGACGTAGGGACAACATGTAGGAACAATATCGTGTAAATAAAACTAAGATTCAACGTCTAAAAAAGAAGATTTTGTAAAATGAAGTTTTATTAAGCAAAAGCACATTCAGGTTGATAGGATAAGCAGTATTGCGTGTAGCGAGAGATGGCGCAGCAATCGAACAAAGACAGATGCCTCTTGTTAGACAAGGACAGTTATAGATATATAACATAGAAAACAGGATTAGAAATGTTGACATTACCGACGTCGAGGAAGTTCGGCCTTCGCTATAGGATCCCCTTAAGGCGTATGTATTTCTTTCAAGGTAGATTTTAGATAATTAAAAAAGTAAAACAAATATATGCGGATCTCTTTATCGTTGTCAAGTAAACGCGTTTATATGTAATAAACTTAAAATTTTAAATACGATATTATTGTGTCTTTCACAACCGAAGGAAGTACATAATAAATAATAAGTATAGTTTGTTAATACACGATGAATAAGTAGTTAGTCAAATGAATAGTATCTACCACAAACACAATTTTAATTTTGTTTTACTTGTTTTCGATTATGGTCATGAAATCAGCGATTTATTTTATACTTATCGCAAATTTTTCAATTTTTATTACATACAAATTATTGTATTGGTTGGATATTAATCCAACGTTTAAAAATTGAATATATATATATGTAATATATACAAGTTAAATAAGCATACATTATTTGGTATTTACTATTCGTTGTTTTTTTTTTATGCTTCAAAGAAAATGTGATAGAAAGCTTAAATTACGAAGCTGACTTAAGTTAGCACTTTGTCCGATCACGCGTAGATCATCTACTGGCGTTCGGTGAACCGCGATCATCTCACACGTATTCTTCACGACGGCGACGACGACAATGACGATGACGATGATGACGACGTCAGGTACATTATACACAATCGACTGAATAGTTCTATATTCATACGGTGCTTACGACAGGGAGCAAACCAGGTACAAGCGTTATTTAACCGTATATTCGTCTCCTTTCTGTTGCAGATTATTTCCTTCGTAATGAACGTATTGGGCCTTAAATAAACATAAAAAAAAAACATTGTTATATATAAAGTATACATAAAAAAAGCAACATAAAGTATATATACAGAAGAAATATATATATAAATATAAAGTATAAATATATACATATATATATATATATAGTGTGGATGCGTATGTGTATACACGCGCGAACGATACGTCTCGGAGAAGCAGAGGTGTATACACATACGCGTGTCGTTATAAGATTATATTATATAGACCGAGAGAAAAAAAAATCGCGAACGCGTGCGAAGGGAGCGAGTGAGAGCGTGAGGCAAGTGCGTGTGTGTGAGCGAGAAACGACGAGTGTGAGTGCTGATCGGAGAGAGATATCGGTTGTTACGATACATACATAAAGTATATATTGTATTAACTAAAAAAAGAAATAGTGGACGGTGGAGAGGGGGAGAGGAGAACAGTGATTAACCGAGTCCCCGCCGGGACGGTCCGAGGATGGATCCGCGAATAGTCGAGGACTGATGTTTCCGCGAAAAGTGAATCTCGGTTGGGCCGCACGTGCGAGACATAGACAGACCGATATTATCGCACCGTCGAACACGAGAGTGCGTACGACAGGCGGGCGAACCCGAATAGCATCGACGAAGGGCAGAGCTTATTGCAGAGGACGAGGAACCGTGAAACCGCGCCGGAGTTTAGGTGTAATTAGGCGCGATATAATGACGACGACGTGGACGTCTCTGTTCCCATTACAGTTTTTCTCCGCAAGCTTTCACTCGATCATCTCTTTCCCATTTCTATTTTTATCTTGCCCCTGTTAATTACCGCACCTGTGTACCGATTGTTAATGATGTAATTATTAGTGATAAAAATATGTGATGATGATACGGGATAGACAAATGCTTAGGGAATTAAGAAGTTCGATGAAGACTGTTAAAAGTAGGAAAGAGAGAAACTTAGGGACAGATAAAAAGAGAAAGATATAAAAAGTTTAAAGCCAATTAGGGGCTGAAAATCGAAACAAGAAAATAACAGAATTTGTAGAACTTATAAAAGCATGATTTATTGATTGTCATTATTGTACAATCGACATGTACGAATTGTGAAACAATTGGAGCCTCTTTTCTCTGCTCGTGCAGTCTGTAAAGGACCGATATATTTATTCGCTAAATGTTCGAACACAAATGTTGATTGAGTAAGGACATACGCAGCAAATACAGCATCTTCTATTTAAAGATACGACAAAATTACTCTTTTAATCACGTTGTCACATCAACGCGCGTCACATTACCCATTCGATAGGAACAATTTCTTTCAACTTAGAATACTCGGCGAATAAACGTACCCTTTTACGTGCAATTAGTTAAAAACTCAAAAAACATCGGCTGCGGTTGCGCGTTCTGTCGCCGCCGCGAGTTCGAGTAGTGATTCGAATATAGTTCTGAGCTACTTTATAGCATAAATACATATATAAATAAATAAATATATATATAAATATATAAATAAATAAATAATTATATATAAACACTATATATATATAATATATATATATATATATATATATGAGAGTATATTTCGGCGGAACTACCGAGATTCGACGGTCCTCGCGATTGATAAGAATAATGAGCGATTATAAAGAGTGATCTCGTTCCCGGACCAACCCGGCCGGATCTCACGGTGACACGTAACACGCTCACGAATCCATATACATACATACATGCATACGTACACACATACATTCTTATATACAACATATACACGCAGAGACAGACAGACAGAGGAAAAAAGGAAAGGGAGTGAAAGAGAGAAAGAAAGAGAGAATGAAAGTGAGAGACCGAGAGAGAGAAAGAGAAAAAAAAACGTTATACGAATCGATATGCGCGGATGCGACTGATAGAGCTAACCGACCGCATTATGTGGGCGCATTAAAAAACGTTTTTGGTACTATACGGCACTTGTATGACGCGTCTCTTTATACGTAAACCCGTACTTCTTATGGATAAAGAAAGAAAAAAGAGAAAAAAATAACACAATAGCCCGTTGTCGCGCGCTGAGACACCCTCACGAGGCGTTTATATATATATATATATATATATATATATATATATATATATATATATATAATATACGCACCGTCACCGGCTTTCCTCGCTGTCGTCGATCGTTGATCGAAGATGAAGAAGATCGAGATGGATTTAAGTAACGGCTCGCCGTTTGCTCGTCGACACTTTCGCGACCGCCCGCATATTTTTAGCTGAAAATTACGCCGTCGTCGTTCGGTACCGGGCCAATTAAAAAAAAGTATTCGTACGCCTTCGCGTTGTTACTAAGTATAAAATTATGTTGCTAAGTGGCAGGCAGGAATAAAAAGAGGGGTATTCGTACGCCATCGCTTTATTGCTATAAATAACATTACGTCGTTAAGGAGCAGGCTGAAATAATAAAAGTATTGTACTTTTATTATAAATATCTTTAACTCTCTCGTTGTGCGTAACGCAATATTAAATTCTTTAAGAAACGTATGTATGGATAATAATGTGTGATGTATGTAATTACAGCATATTTTAATTAAAGGTTACTTATAGCGATGACGTGCGAATACCGTTTGTCTCGTTCTATAATGAATTTCTTTAAGATGAACTATAAATATTGCAGCTACTTATGTAAACCCTAAACGGTATAAGCGGGGTCTGACAGACCGTTTTTAATTACCAGACGTTATAGAAATTTTATAACGCTCTATTATTATTATTTGTTTGTATTTATAAAGTTTAATATAAATGAATAAAATCTAATTTCCACACACGTAGATTTCGGACACATTTATTTTCATTATATATGATTATACATTATCACCATTTATGCAACATCCCTCTTTGTACTGTATGTCGGCCCCTTTAATTATACATATATTATTACGTAAGTAAAATAATTTATACTGTTTAGGGTCTCCAACAGAAATATTATATATTTAACTCATTATTATATCCTTATCAAAAGCTTATAATAAAGCTATTAATGATAATGAAATAATGCTAAAAAAAGAGCATCACAAGACTTTTGCTAGAAATTATAAACATTTTTTATGCGAATTTAATCTTTATATTTACATTTAATAATATTAATAACATGATCTTACGTAAAAGAGCATAATATAAGTATAATTGCGACTTTTAATGAGTTAAATGTATCGATATTAAAGTTGTATTAATCTACAGTCGAATATTAGTGGTCGCGAAAGTGTTAAGAATGTATTGTTGTTAGCCTCACATGTATATACATATATATAGTTCAATTTTTATTGCGTATTTATGTATTTTTATCTTTTTGATATTGGATAACAAGAGTATATATTAATTCCTCGCGTTGGGACAACCATTCAATCAATTTAAATGACAACTTACAATTTTTGCAATGACTTTATAATTGTCAAATGGATTATTGTTTATTCGTTAATGACAAAACAAATTTTTCATGCAAGTATTTAATATGATAATATGACATTAGAATGGCTCATCAATATGATATATTAACTCAATAGAATGTCAATGCTGCATTTGTTAAACTTCGTTAAAGATTGGAGAATACTAATTTTAAAAATAAGATCTAACTTCTTGATACTTAAAAAGTATCTCACGTTTTTCAAATTTCAGAATTTTGAGTGTCTGCTTTTTTCATTTTTGAGTCTATCTCATTTCTAAATCAGTTTAACTCTTAGATTCTCGAGCCTTTTGAATATTTTAATCGTTGAATGTTTGTTATATATTTGCTTCTTGCATTTTTTAATTGGATTATCTAAAAAAAATTCTTAGTCATTGCCAAGGCAGCGAAGAATGAACCAACAAGCTTGCTTTAGCTTTCTACTGACTGAAATACTGATATTTATGTTACTTAAGATTTGATGATGATTTATCATATAACTTTTAATTGATACGAGTGAGCATAATTAATTTTTTATTCTCTTCGAAAATATTTATTTGTTACAAAGAACAAAACGTTATTTTAAAATAGTTTTAGAATAAGATGAAATCAGAATTGCGCAACCCTAATTATATGATAAGATCACAAGTAGATAAGTGAGAAATAACTTTCGGATGCATATGCTAGGTCAATTTCATTCTAACATATTTTTGTTTACAGTCAAATAAACGTATATTTGCATTTTTTGCATAATTGCTAAATATAATTACATTAATAACATTGATTGGAAATAGTACGAAAGAATAGTAAAGTCTATTTTTCTAAATTTTTTATTGAAAATAAAGCCATCTAGGCATCACAAAGAGGGGCAGCTTTAGTTACTTCATATCTTTTTAAGATGTTTAATAATAAATTAACGATAATATTTCTTTCTGAAAGCAAGGACATAAATTGCTTTTTCAAATATTGAGTTTATTTTCGTAATTGCGACATATTTATATTATGTTTACATTAAAATCTTATCTTGTTTCTTCTAAAAAATAAACAAAGTAGTTTGACTCATACGATTTTCTATATATCAAACAGCACAAAATTTAATCATAAATGTTTTTAATGAATCAATCTTGTTACCATTGACGAAATTAGTAGAAAAGGCTAATTATTCTTTTATCATTCATCACGAGATTAGAACGTGCTCGTTTACGCAACAGTGTGCAGACAAAAGTATCTTAATATGCATCCGAGAGAATCGTAGATTCGCAATCGAGAGAGGATCGACGAGAGCGACGGCGAATCCGTCACGGTGCGCCGACTGACACGCTTTCGGACGGTTACATATACTTATAGCGAGAAATTAAGAGAATGCATATTATTCTGCCGATTAACGAGTAAGTGCGTAGGATTCGTTTAATTGTAGATCGAACACGATACACAGTCACGTTACGCGCGAGTGCAAGATGCATTACCATCTACGACCCTTCTTCGCTCACATCTCTATCCCCTTTACTCGAGAGCAACACGCATACACGCATATACACCCACAGAACACATACACACGCACATACACGCATACATACATACATACATATGTACACAAATACATCCATATACAATGTACACACGCATACGCGTACAATAAAGGCGCAACACATACACCCGCACGCACGTTGCAATTAGACGTTATTATCGCAATTTGGAGTTAAATTTTATAATATATAATATATAAAAAATATATATAATAAATATATATATAAAAGTTGACGGATAATATAGAGTTATGTTAAATATCTAAACGAAGGTATTCATGTGTTTCTCATGTGTGAATACATTATCCCTTTTGTTGCGCAATCACAATCGCAAGATTTTCCCTTTTCTCTCGTAATCCCTGAAATAGCTTAAATGAATACAGAAAATATTTGCACATTATAGAGAGTTCTCATTGTGTAGGGATTCTTTAATTTTTATTATATTATAACATTAAATTATTTTACTCACATGTACATCTTAATAAATATAAATCAAGATTTTAACAAACAAATGATTAACGTATTAAAGTCATATACTTAATCTTATAAATATTTGAAATTTATTTCTAATGAAAAATTATTTATAATAGCATAATAATATTGCTTAAGTACTTCCTTTATCTTTTTATATTGTACTAATAAATAGACAGACTTTTTAGACATTACTTTTATCATAAAATTCAATAACTGCTCTTTTCTTGTGTTTAACATTTATAGAAAATGTGTAAGATTTATGACGATTTTTGAAAATTTATTTATTACCTTTAATTATATATATAATTTAGAGAAAAACTAAAAATGCTTAAAATTTTTTGTTTAACATATTTAAAAAAATATATAAAAAATAATTTTTATTTTATCTTAATAATTAATATCAGTGTAAACATTTATATAAAATTTTATAATTCTATTCTAATAATAATTTAAGAATAGCAATTATTTTTTAATTTAAGAACATAATTTAAGAACAATGATATTTTTTAAAATAATTCTACATAAATTTAAAACTTGTATTGTCAAATTTTTATTTTTTAAGCAAAACGCAAAAATATTAATTAATATTTTAACATTATTTTTGTATATCTTACTTTTATTAATTCAGTATTTGATTTTGTTTGCATAAACAATTTTATTCAAGAATTCTTTAAATAGTACATACATCTCTTTCAGCAGAGTATTTGAGGAATTTAAATTTTCTTGCACGATACTATCGAGAGAAAATGGCGAACTATTCGATAAGTCGACTTGGCGTATACACTTGGCGTATACGCTTGCATCTGTAGTCATCTGTAGTGAGCATAGAGATCTTTATATCTCTATGGTAGTGAGTAAAGAACTGTCATCGATTAAATGGACGGAAAAATGAATTCTAGCAATTCTTCGGCTTATCGCCGCATCAAGTAAGTTTAAATAATGATTATATAAAAGCAAGAGACACGCCAGTGTCTTTTCTGCACAATTTTAGTATCTAATAAAGATTGCTTTATCATTATAATAGCAAATTTCTGATATTTTGAGGTTAGGTCAGTCCCTAACCCCTGATTGCACATATTCACAACAACAATATAATGTATAAACACGCACATAATATAGTCATATTCAATAAGATAAAATTCAATATCTTTTAACATAAGCACCACATGAATGCCTTAAGTCTTAAGTCATGATAATTAATGAGAGAGAGAGAGAGAGAATAAAGAACGCTAGTTATTAGATACCAGTGATATCTTTCTAAGTAAATTGTATGATACATTTACAATGCTATTTGCATAGCTTAAAAATCGCACCTGGTGCAGTAGTGTGCGAAGAGAGCATTCTAAAAGGGGACATTTCTATTGGTGCGAAAACTATAATCCACCCTAGAGCATGTATTCTAGCGGAGGCTGGTCCGATCATTATAGGAGAAGGCAATATTATCGAGGAAATGGCAACTATAGCCAACAGGCAAGTTTAATATACTTGCATCTTTTGCAATATATGCAGTGGCATACTAATTTATTAATTTAACGCTACTATAGGTTGCCATCCGATGCTCCGGAACCTGCAACAGTACCAGTGCAAATTATAGGGAACTATAATGTATTTGAGACTGACTGTGTTTGTGAATCATATAAAGTTGGCGATAACAACATCTTAGAAGCAAAAGGTACATATGTAGCAGTTGCTTTTAGCAATGTATGCAAACAAATATTGTGATTGTAGTATTAAATCGTACGAGTAGGACTTATTTTATGTCAAACTAGAAGATAAGGATCTTTAAGAATTATACAATGTCATACTATTAATTAATTATAAGCCCGTTTATAATTAACTTATTATATATAAATATTATTTTTCCAAAAGCACAAGTTAGTCGAGAAATTGAACTAACGAATGGATGCGTTATTGGAGCTGCATGCTCTTTGACGGAGCAAGAAGTAGTACCAGAAAATACAATAGTGTACGGCAGCCAGTGTCAACGTAGAGAAATGAACGACAAGCCATATGTAATTGTTATATATATCACACTATTTTTATTCTTTTGTTTTATGAGCCCAAATATGGTTTTCCTACTTTATTGTATTTCAGCCTCAAATTGGACAGTTGGACTTTCTGCTGAAAGTACTCCCGAATTATCACCACTTTCGCAAATCGAATGTAAAGTCAAAACCTGGAGGACCTGTGTGAATAATATATATACCCACAATCTTTGTAATGATAAAAATAAGATAATATGTTTAATTTTTACACTAATTATACGAATTGTATTTATTGAAAAAACCTTATGCTTGCAATTCAGCAAACAAATATGTATATTTATTTCTATTACATATAATAAAATTTTTCTGTATTATATTGTGAGCATGATGTATAAACATTTTAATGAATTTTAGAGAAAATTATTATTAAATTATTGTAATATTATTATATTAATTAATTGTATATGCAATGTAGATGCATATTATATGATTAATTATTTTTAAAAATTGCTGATTTATTTTTAAAATTAAAATAGAAATAAAGGATAAGTAGAAGATTGATAAACCGAAAATACCACTTCGAGTTTTTCATTAAAGATAGAACTAATATAATTGCCATAAATTTTTTTTACATTTGTTTCCGCAGGGATAACTAATTCACACAGTCAATTGGGCTTAGCAAATCCACGAACTCGAGCTCAATGCATTGCAAATTTATTCGCATATTATACACATCCACAATCACGTATTTTTGTGAATAATAATGCAATAAATAATTGAAGGAAAGTGTGTAAAAGAATAATCTATTGTAATTTAATGCAGAATAATCTAATTTAATGTAGACGGAAAAAGTTTGCTTATCTTTTTGTATGCGCCTCTTTATTACTAGTTTATTCACATTTGGACATCGTAAACAATGCGATTTATTTCAAAAAGTATCTATCTTATGAATCTATTACAATTACTGAGTTTAGAAAACATTTGCAATACATTTGACTTTTTGTCAGTATCAAAATTCTATAATTTTAAAAACACGATAATTCCAACTAAAAGAGAAAGAAGTTATAAAGTGCATAAAACATAAAGTTAAAAAATTTTGCAGACATTTCTATAAAAATAGTGTTGAAAAATATGGCAGAGAGATAATAAAAAAAAAATCGGACAACAATTTATTAATATTTTACGAAGATTGCAACGACAATTTATATCTTTGCTTGCAATGCTTTGATACCATACATTGTCATATCTCTATTTAAGTTTATATTTTAAAAAATATAATTAATATATATTTAAAAAATATTTATATACATGTACTTTACATGTGCACTTATTATTTTAAATTATTTTAATGTTTATTATATTTACAGTTTTACTAATGTTATTATATACATATTTTATGTATTTTTAGTAAGTTGGAAATGTCTGTCACGGGTAATTTCCATGTAATAGAAAAATCGAGTGCCGATAAAGTCAGTCGCCAATAAATCCCATAGCACTCAACGTGTTAAAAATAAGAACATAGACAAGACTCGTGTATATGTTTGACCTAGATCAAACGAAATAGCACAAGCTAAAGCTTATTTTTACATTTTAGTCTTAAGGCTTTTGTTCACTCACTGCAGCCATCTCTTGTTGACGTCAGACACGAAAAAATATATCATGAAAATTCTCGCAACGTATTACATTAAAATAAAAATGTTTACTTTTTTAAATAAAATAGCAGCTTTTGTAATTGACTTATAAAATATATCAAAAACTCCCCCCTTTTATTAATCACTAAATAATCCATATATATTGAATTGAATTGTGCCTAATCAAGGACGAAAACAAGCTGACAGCTACTGAATTAAAATAAAAAAATTTTTCTTTTACATATTAAATTATAACAAATTGGGAGTCTTCGATATCTTAACACTATATTTTAACATTAACGACGATTATTTTAAATCTAAAAACGTTGCTAATTTAGTTTTTTAACGCCTTATACTCCACAATTATGTCAAGCTAGAGTGACGCTGTGTATACTATCAACGCGGACTTGGCAATCGAGCCAGCAAAAGCTTTAAAAAAATTCTACATTTTTCCTATTAGTTTTTTCTTTATATTTACTTTTTTTATAAGCCAGAATTTTGTTTTTAATGGAATTAAAAATATTAAAATTTTAAAGTAGTTAAATAATTACTTTAAGATTAAATCTTTAAATTTCAAATCTTTTATTTCTAAACCAAAATTCTATTTTTATTATACCTTCTTGGTTATATATTTCAGTTTACGTTAATCAAACCAAAATAGCACAGTCCAGCAACGTTTGTTATTGCAAAATATGCTACAAACTGGGGATCTTGCATATACACTCTTGCATTAGCATTTAAAAAAATAATTTCGTTGAAATCTACTTTTGGATAACTCTGACCGCAATTGAACATCAATCTATCCCGAGAAGCTTTTTTTTACTTTAAGTTACATAATAAAGAAATTCCATTAAATCTTTTTCTGTACTGTTTTCAGATAAATTAAAAAAATATTTTACCGTTGTAACATTAAAGAGAAATATTTATAATTTCTTTTATAATAACCAATTTATATACCTTTGAATTATGTAAACTGAGTTTCATATAACGCGAAATGTGTCTCCTGTATTATACGTTTATTTTATTGCATTATAATAGTTCATTCTCAACTAATTCTCAAAATTAATAAATATTGTTATTAATATAACGGACTGAAAACCTTGACATTTATCACTAATTTTCATGAATTCTTCTCAATTTCCTGTTATTAACAAAAAGTTAATACGAATAATCGATTCATCAAAAGAAAGGAACCCTCGCCACTTTCTCAACGAGCGGAAATACGAATAGAAATATTAGCCACTCTGTCTCTTAACCAACTCTCCGAGGAATTTAACGGCGTAATGCTAAACGCTACATCTATGAATATGAATTAGCGTCTCGTCGAGGGGGTTGGTTGCGAACCATTTACCGCTTCCGTCAGCTTAGCGAAACGCGTCAGTGATTATCAACCCTCCTTTATATTTGAGTTTATACAAGAAAATAACGCGTTTTGTATCGAGATGTGAAAAGCTATAATAAATAGTCAATTTTAGATATATTTTTATAAGGAATTTATTCGCTTGAAATACATTAATCATAAATTTTTGAACGGCTTTTTAAGTTTTTATTGTAAACTTGCAAGATTTGAAAAAAGTTAGAATTTCAAAATTTATATAAATGTTATCTCGCAATAAACATTTATTTAAAATGAACATTAGTCTTAAACGTTAAATGAATATAACGATTGAAACATTTACAAAAGCTCTGTTGTGTTACGTATTAATTTTATTAACAACAAATTGACCGGACACCGACTTAAGTGTCTCTAAATGGCAAAAGAGTCGCAAGCGCACCCTTACTTTAATGATCGGCCACGGCAACCCCCTGTGACGTAACTCTTGTCGCGAAAGTGGTGACTCGAGAGAGCTGTCATATTTTGACATCCGCAGCGGACGTTGGAGAAAAGAGAGAAAGGGTGCAAGAAAGAGACATGAAGGGAATGAGAAGAAAAAAAATTATTTTTCCAAGGGGGTTGGTTGAATCCGCAGTCGCAGAAAATCACAGAAGGAGAAACTAACAAGGAGAGATTCGAGAGCTAACGCTTTTCTGACGAAATTACGTAATTTCTTCTTGTCGGGTCATCTCGACCGTGATCATCTTTTTCCTGGTTGATTTATATGCATGATAACTCGAAAAAGAAAATATAATTGAATCGATGAATTAAAATATTTATATACATATAATCTTTAAAATCTTCAAAAATATAGAAGAGATATTTCTGTAAAAATGAAATGGGGCTAACTATATATTTTCATTTACTAATGTTTTTATAAGCGAAATTTGATTAAATAAAAATTTATTTTACTTATTGTTAGAATTAATCTTTGTTGTGCACACCTCTTCAAAATTACGTATTTGTGCACAGGGGATCTATTAGACCCCAGTCACTTTTAAACGTTTATTACAGACGTACAATTCGTTATTTTGACTCAAACAAAATTGCTGGCTATTGTTCAAAGCTTCCAAAATAAGGTCTAATAGGTTTCATTAATATTTTGCAACATAAAAGAATTATAAATGATATGTTAACTTAAAAAAACGAAAAATGGACTTTTCACTTAAAAATGTATAAAAAATTCAATTTTTAATTTTTTTTATAATTTTTGCGGGATTATTTTTTTGAAATATTACACTTTCAAGGAAAAATATTAGTTTATAGCGGAGTTGAAAAAAGTATATTTATATTGCTACGAAATCACGCGTTTTTCAACTTCTCACCACTGCCAAGAGCAGACTAAAACCGGGCGGGCAAAACTATGTATAGGATCTTGAAGTGTTATCCCTAAACTACAGGTAAATGGCAGCACAGGTCCCGATCCGTATTGTACGTATTAGAAAAACGCGTTTGAAAATACGCTGGGGTCTAAAAAACCCAGTGTGCACAACAAAGGTTAATCCTTAGGCTACATAATTCATATATAGATCTCGCATGTGTTCCTTTTATCGCGTATAAAACTCTAATCAATCAAATCTTAAAGAATTGTATATGAAATAGAAGTAGAAAAGACTGAAGAATATAACAGAATTTGAAAAATTGCCAATAATTAATATTAAGTGTCCCAAAACATCAATTTTTGAAGAGTTTTAAGGGGAGCCTGCAGCCGTATGATTTACCGACATTATCGTTAATCAATGGATCTTTTAATTGGCTTTACAGAATTGCAAGTTCTTGGTCTAGAATTAAAGTCCGCACAAAAATCTAGGGTGGAAAACGCGATTTTATATCAAAAGCACCAAAAAATTAAAAATATTACTTATTGGGGCACATACACAGCTGTCACCTGACGACAATATTTGCTTAAAACAAAAATTCTACAGTTTATACGTACATAATGTTTATCATCCACCCTTGGGAAAACATGTAGGAATAATATCGTGTAAGTAGAAGTAAGATTCAATGCGTACTAAAAAAGATCCATCTAATAATTATTTTAGTAATGTAAATACGGATGCAGGATGACAAGAAGAGCAGCAACAGTAGTTGCCGGATCTTGCGTAAGATGGCGAGCAATCGAAAAAAGGACAGATGTCATTTCGTTAGACAAAGACAGATATAGGGAAAACAAAATTAGAAAGGTTGACATTATCGACAACGAGGAAGTTCGCCAGTCACTGCAGGATCCCCTTAATGGTTGAGATTTGAGGTGTAGCCTTTAAGGGTTAACCAGCTAATTCTTTTTTCTGATACCACCAATTTGATTACAATCAATATAAAATTAAATCAGAGAACTCTAAATAATCAGAAGTAAAAATTAATAATGAAGTATAC